GAATGAATGACTGAAACAGCCGTTTTGCTATGACCTCAATCACTTTTATTTATTATTTTAAATATTATTTAATTTTATTATTTGAATATGCCAACTTATATTTGAGAAGCTCAATTTGAGACCACTTAATACATTGAAATATCATAAATATTGAAATATTAAAAAGTGTATTTCAAAATATTGAAATTATAAAAAATTTATAATACTGAAATTGAGACAAATTAATAAATTCAATGTGTTTTTTTTTGAAATAACTCTCAAATATTATTTTTTTGTTTATTTAATGATGAATAAATATGATTGCTTTAGTCAATCATAAAAACTAATTTAAGTTTAAAATAATGAAAGGATAATTTGATCGTTTTTTAAAATACAATTATTTTTGATGATTTGCAAGAATCTTTGAAAAGAATATAATATAGGTTCTATTTTTGTAAAATTTATCCAAATCATGTATTACATAAATTATGATTAAAACGATGAAAGAACCAAAAAATGTGTTTTGTGTTTTGATGGATGCGGGATCCTGTTATTTCCGAAATCGACAAAAAATTTGGAAATTTAATTTCCGAAATCGAAATTATATTAATGTTTTTAATATTCTTATATCAAAAGGATTAAAGTTCATTAAGAGAAAAACAATTCTTCTTCTTCAATCTATTGGCGCATTTATTTCTACACGCCAATAAGGAAGGGAAAATTATAAGACACCATGGTGTCTTCAAAACGCTAATTTTTGATATTTTTAACAACCCTAAAATAGATTTGGTCTGTAATTAAATGAGAATAGCAGTTTGTTCGTCATTGTTTGAGGCAAGAGTATTATAGGAATATTATATGATGGATTTGAGTTGCATATAAAGAGTGCAAAAGGATAAAGAGAGAAATTTTGTTAGATTAAATTATTAAATTTTAATTCTTTATTTTTTAGGATTGTTAGCTTTGTAAGATTGCTTTCTCACAAGAGAAAACAAGTATAAGGTTTAAGCTGTATGTATTAAAGTTATAAATATTTGATTTTTAAAAAAATCAAGATTTTAAACTTTAAAGGTATTAATTATGAATCTTTCTTTAGCTTTGCATGCTGTATGCTACTTTTGGAAACTGCTCTATTGTATTAGAATGTTTTTAAATTTTGCACCTAAAAATGGTAATATTAAAAATTAAGGTATTAATTATGATTATCTTTCTTTAGCTTTACATGCTGTATGCTACTTTTGGAAACTGCTCTATTGTATTAGAATGTTTTTAAATTTTGCACCTAAAAATGCGTAATATTAAAAATTAAGGTATTAATTATGATTATCTTTCTTTAGCTTTACATGCTGTATGCTACTTTTGGAAACTGCTCTATTGTATTAGAATGTTTTTAAATTTTGCACCTAAAAATGCGTAATATTAAAAATTAAGGTATTAATTATGATTATCTTTCTTTAGCTTTACATGCTGTATGCTACTTTTGGAAACTGCTCTATTGTATTAGAATGTTTTTAAATTTTGCACCTAAAAAATGCGTAATATTAAAAATTAAGGTATTAATTATGATTATCTTTCTTTAGCTTTACATGCTGTATGCTACTTTTGGAAACTGCTCTATTGTATTAGAATGTTTTTAAATTTTGCACCTAAAAATGCGTAATATTAAAAATTAAGGTATTAATTATAATTATCTTTCTTTAGCTTTACATGCTGTATGCTACTTTTGTCTTTGAGACATTCCATGATTTAAGTTAAGAAGCTTTAAAAAAATGCAAAAAAAATTGAATACTTTACTGGCTGGGCAAATTTGTCGCCGCCCCGAATACGTTTCACAGCGAGAAAAAAATAAAAGGCAAGATAGAATTTTCTAGACATAAAGAAGTTGTTTACCGAGTTTTAGCTCTTATCTCTAACAAAAAATTAATTTTTAAAAAAAAGACCGAATACGTTTCACAGCGAGAAAAAAATAAAAGGCAAGATAGAATTTTCTAGACATAAAGAAGTTGTTTACCGAGTTTTAGCTCTTATCTCTAACAAAAAATTAATTTTTAAAAAAAAGACCGAATACGTTTCACAGCGAGAAAAAAATAAAAGGCAAGATAGAATTTTCTAGACATAAAGAAGTTGTTTACCGAGTTTTAGCTCTTATCTCTAACAAAAAATTAATTTTTAAAAAAAAGACCGAATACGTTTCACAGCGAGAAAAAAATAAAAGGCAAGATATAATTTTCTAGACATAAAGAAGTTGTTTACCGAGTTTTAGCTCTTATCTCTAACAAAAAATTAATTTTTAAAAAAAAGACCGAATACGTTTCACAGCGAGAAAAAAATAAAAGGCAAGATAGAATTTTCTAGACATAAAGAAGTTGTTTACCGAGTTTTAGCTCTTATCTCTAACAAAAAATTAATTTTTAAAAAAAAAGACCGAATACGTTTCACAGCGAGAAAAAAATAAAAGGCAAGATAGAATTTTCTAGACATAAAGAAGTTGTTTACCGAGTTTTAGCTCTTATCTCTAACAAAAAATTAATTTTTAAAAAAAAGACCGAATACGTTTTCACAGCGAGAAAAAAATAAAAGGCAAGATAGAATTTTTCTAGACATAAAGAAGTTGTTTACCGAGTTTTAGCTCTTATCTCTAACAAAAAATTAATTTTTAAAAAAAAGACCGAATACGTTTTCACAGCGAGAAAAAAATAAAAGGCAAGATAGAATTTTCTAGACATAAAGAAGTTGTTTACCGAGTTTTAGCTCTTATCTCTAACAAAAAATTAATTTTTAAAAAAATGACCGAATACGTTTCACAGCGAGAAAAAAATAAAAGGCAAGATAGAATTTTCTAGACATAAAGAAGTTGTTTACCGAGTTTTAGCTCTTATCTCTAACAAAAAATTAATTTTTAAAAAAAATGACCGAATACGTTTCACAGCGAGAAAAAAATAAAAGGCAAGATAGAATTTTCTAGACATAAAGAAGTTGTTTACCGAGTTTTAGCTCTTATCTCTAACAAAAAATTAATTTTTAAAAAAAAGACCGAATACGTTTCACAGCGAGAAAAAATAAAAGGCAAGATAGAATTTTCTAGACATAAAGAAGTTGTTTACCGAGTTTTAGCTCTTATCTCTAACAAAAAATTAATTTTTAAAAAAAAGACCGAATACGTTTCACAGCGAGAAAAAAATAAAAGGCAAGATAGAATTTTCTAGACATAAAGAAGTTGTTTACCGAGTTTTAGCTCTTATCTCTAACAAAAAATTAATTTTTTAAAAAAAGACCGAATACGTTTCACAGCGAGAAAAAAATAAAAGGCAAGATAGAATTTTCTAGACATAAAGAAGTTGTTTACCGAGTTTTAGCTCTTATCTCTAACAAAAAAATTAATTTTTAAAAAAAAGACCGAATACGTTTCACAGCGAGAAAAAAATAAAAGGCAAGATAGAATTTTCTAGACATAAAGAAGTTGTTTACCGAGTTTTAGCTCTTATCTCTAACAAAAAATTAATTTTTAAAAAAATGACCGAATACGTTTCACAGCGAGAAAAAAATAAAAGGCAAGATAGAATTTTCTAGACATAAAGAAGTTGTTTACCGAGTTTTAGCTCTTATCTCTAACAAAAAATTAATTTTTAAAAAAAAGACCGAATACGTTTCACAGCGAGAAAAAAATAAAAGGCAAGATAGAATTTTCTAGACATAAAGAAGTTGTTTACCGAGTTTTAGCTCTTATCTCTAACAAAAAATTAATTTTTAAAAAAATGACCGAATACGTTTCACAGGGCGGAGGTTTTTGTGATATGGAAAAATGTTCGTTGCTCAATTATCTCACTATTGGATGGACTTTTATCGAGCGAAATTTTGGCTGTAAAGACAATTCTGATATTGGTAACATGGTGATAAGAACAAATAGTCAGTTTGCATGGTTTATGATGAGATAATTTCGATTTAAAAAAAAACATAAAAATTGATTTTAATGAGCGATTATATTTGAATATGCTCTCCTAATTTGAAGGAACTGGTTAAATCATGAATTGATCATGAATAATTTTTTTTCAAAATAACAATTATAATTTCATATTCATTATAAGTTGAAAATATATCATAAAGACTTTATGAATGATAAATTCCTAAAAAAACAAGTTAGTTTGTTTCTGAAAATAATAATAATAAAAACCAATTTAGACCCAATAATTTTTGGCGGGATAATTGAGATGTTACGATTGAATTAAAAAAAAAGCGGTAATACATTTTTACAATGATGAAGAGGCTGGCAACCTCTGAGTCAAAGCACTTGTTAATGCAATGATGAAGAGGTTGGCAACCTCTGAGTCAAAGCACTTGTTAATGCAATGATGAAGAGGCTGGCAACATCTGAGTTAAAATACTTTTCCCAGTGTGGGAGTAATTTGAAAAAAAAAATTTAGTTCATATATTGAAAAAAACAAAAGTAAAAATTAAAGTTTATAGGTTGGGTTTTGATGAAAAAAAAAAAAAAAAAAGGTAGTGGGGCCTCCAGGCACTTCGTGCCCTCTAGCCCTGAAGATGTTTAGTATAACTTTGTCCGGACAAGTAAGGGTCTATCGTCGCTACAGGAAAAGTTACCGGCGTTCCAAGGAAGTATACTTTGAGAAGCCTTTTCTCCCTTATAGAATGAGATAGGACGGTTATTTTACAAAACTGACAACACTTTGACCGAGTAGTTTTTTGAGCTGAACAAAAAGTGTCATATAAACATCTGTCAAAAACCGCTTTTTAACTTCACTTAAAATGCCACGTAAGCTACGTAAGAATATACGTAAGAGGAAGGGAGCATTGAAACATCCAATAGTAAAACTGACACCACAACAACAGTTGCAACAACAAATGATGAATGACCCCACTATGTTGCAACAAATGTCAAGCAACCTATGCTTTTAAACCGAGTTATTGGTGCACAGAGTGGAGGTTTAAGAGCGGCACTTTTAGCGAAAATGGCAGGCTATGGTGGAGCTGCAGACGGAACAGCTTATAACCCTCAAAGTCAAATGAATTTGAGTTCACTCAAAAATCAAATAACAGATGTCAAAAAGTCAAACATAGACATACAGAAACAAATAAGTGAAAACGAAAAGAAACTAGAATATGACAGACACACAAAGAAACTCAATGAGTTAAACGTAGAGAAAAAGAAGAAAGAAGAACAACTGAAAGAACTAAGTACAGAGGAATATGCGAAAAAAGTGTCAGAAAAAGCAACAGAAGTAGCAAAAATGGAACAAGATGTTATAAATTTGAAAAACCATACTACTCAATATAAAGTACTGAAAGATGAAGAAATAAAACAAAAAGCCCTGAAGACATATATGGATAGCGATGAGTATAAAAAAGAAGTTGAAGCAAATGTAAAGGCAGAAAAACTTTTACAGTTGCAAAACCAAACCGTACAGTATGAAAACTTAGCACAAGAAAGTAAAAATAACGACGCAGCCATGCAAAAGGCAATGAAAAGCTCAGAATATATAAAAGCTAATAATGACTGGTTAGATGCCCAAGCCAACGCCAAAGCAGCCCAACTTATAGGGTCAATAAGGACAAAAATACAAGCAGATGAAGACAGTTCAAATGAAGCTTTAATGAATGCTGACTTTAAGAACGCCTTCGAAGCTCTTCATAGTAAGGTGAAACTAGTGAACGACTTCTCATCTGGAAAGAAACTGAAGTCTGAAGGTTTCGACAACGAGTTAAGAGAAGTAGCACAAAATATGACGAAAATAACAGATGCAGCAACGAGACAGGCAGTTCAAAGTGCCTATGACGCCGTTAGAGCAACTGTTGTGGAAAGTCAAGAAAAAGAGTTACAACAGACCAAAACAGACCTAGTAAATGCTTTCTTAAGAACGAAAAGTCAGGTAGGACATTATGCTGCAGATGGAACATATGTGCCAGCTGGTGGAACTTATATACCAGCTGGTGGAACTTATATACTAGCTAGTGGAACTTATATACCACCAAACCCTCCAAGAGAAGCACCTGCACCAGGACTACCTAAAACATTTACATCGTCACATGGACACAGACACAGGCATGCACCAAAACCAACACAACAACCAACAGTTCAAAATCCAGCACAACAACCAACAGTTCAAAACACTGCACCACAACCAACAGTTCAAAACCCTGCACAGCAACCAACAGTTCAAAACCCTGCACAACAACAACCACAAACAGAGCAAGGACATAAAAGAAGTAGAGAACAAGGAAACCAAGAATTCTTAAAAATGCTTAAGGAAGACTATGGTTACCCAGATACTCTTGACTTTAGTGACAGATATAAAGAAGCTATTAGAAAGTTCAAGGAAGGAAATACTGACCCGAACCTATTTAGCTTTATGGTTCAGCACCAAATGGGATATAATTTCAAACCTGGAAAATACAAGCTCGCTAAGGGATATGATTTAATAGCATATCATCCAAATGACATGGATGAATTTACTCCGAGATATTTGGTGTCAGAGCTAAATGATAATTCAACTCTCTTCATGAAACGCGTAAAAAATAGAGACGGAACGAAAGAAGAAAGGTTTATGAGTCCGGATGACTTAGATAGGGAACTTTTTAAAAACGGTCTCGGAATATATGAAATGCCAGCAGATGAGGTACAAGAAACCCCACAGGAAGAAGTTCAGATACAACCAGACATGGAAGAAATAGTTCAGCAACAACAGCTAGAAGAGCCTGAAGGAAACGAACAAGTCCCTCCTTTGGAAACTAACTTCACAGAACTAGATGAAGATTTGGAACAGCCGAAAAATCTTGACCCTCAACAAGAGTATGCGGAGAATATGGAATCTTTCCAAGAGTCTAAGAAAAATTCGGCTGACATAGTAGAAGAATATCGAAAAATGTTCGCCGACATACAAAAGACTCCAACATCAGATGAAAATATTCAGCATAGAATGGAAGTACTGAAAGAAAATGTACGCAAATACAACAATCCTTTTTACTTACGACCATATAACGTTCAATCTTTGGCTGAACTCGGTGAAAATAAAAGGTTAAATTTCACCAAAACATATAGAAATGAAACATTGTTTAAAGTTCATTCAGAACCTAACCAATATGGAAACAAACCTACTTTTGTTTCTGCAGACTATGGAACTACAATGAGATGGGGTCATAAAGCTAATCCGGATAGGTGGTTCATAAACTTACAACCACAATTCCAAGAAGTTGTAGACGCAATGGAAGTGAATGGTGAACCAGATATAGCTGGTATTTTCAGCGCGGCTTTAATGCCATTGAAAGATATGAAACATGCAGATATTTTGGACCAGTATGAAATGAACATGGCTGATGGAAATATAACACCTGACGTTCTAGAACATTTATCTCAAAGAACTACACAGAACCATAGAGATGGTATATTTGGTGAAGAGTTTAGAAAGAAAGTTAGGGAGATAGAAGGAAGAGAACCTATTGTACATGACCTTGCAAACGAAAGTTTACAAAATGTCATAAAAATTACTTTGCAGACAATGAACCGAGAAGGGATGAATATTTAAGAAAACTCAAATGGACAGTACCAAATGAAATGTTAGTATTGAAAAACATGTTCCTTGACAAAATAAAACCAACTACAGAAATAAATGACGCAAGACTGAAACATTGGGTAAAAGCTTTCCCATTCACAAAAGATATTATTGGTAACATGGAAAGAAAACCAGAATGGCTACAAAAACATATATTTGGAAACGAGCTTATTCATATGGACAAGCTCTGTTTGAAGAGCTTGAACCGGAAACTCAGGAAAGAGTCATGCAAACAATACGCGAAGACTCAAATACAAACTATGACAAATCTTTCTAGGATATAGGTTACCTGAGATGGGCGACCAGAGCCCAAACAAAAAGGACATGGGAAATTTACAACATACTAGGTGAACATGAGGCAAAGATGCAACAACTTGAAGCAGAGGGCAAGTTACCAAAAGCGACACCAAAGAAGAAGAGTAGAACAAAGTAAAGCTTGGTCCGAGTGGGTTCTATATGACACATAAATCCAACTATTCTATATTTTTACCCATATGAAATGTACGCCGCTCAGAATATAACGCCAACAGTTTTGGATGCCATGAACGGAAATGTTTCCGAATGGTAAAACGACGAATGCGACAATGCCATTAGAAGGTCAGAAATAGTTCCTGGAACTTACGAATATACAACTGCTGTTTCTTATGGAAACGTAGGTGAGTTTGGAGAAGGTTCTTCAACAACAGTAGATATTGCTTGCGACAGGTTTCATATTATTTCTATTGACAACTCATTCTTATACGTGGAACAAGACATTGAAATAAAACCTTCTGCCAAGTTGTCTTGACAAGAAAGGTTGCAATGGAATTTTCTATGTCGGATACCAATATGCTCCAGAAGTTTTCATGGGATATAAGATATATTCTAACTCTGACTTAGTTCAAACAGTAACATGGGCAAACTATGAATGTTCGCTTTGAGAAACTCAGTACAACCACAAGCTAGAGAACAAAACAGACCAGTATGCAACTATTGAGAAAATAAGAAGACTTGACCCTAACGTTCCAGGAGTTTATGTTAACCTTTCTGGTTCAGATGGAACTGCTGCCACTAAAGTAAAACTGAAACTTAGAGTTCCTTTGTCATCTTTCCTCATCTTCAGGTTTTTAAAGATACTTGCCAAACTGGGCAGGAAAAATTTCTATTGAACTTACTCCAAGCAAAAAAACTTAGTCATTGCACCAACACAAGACCCATTCAGCATTACTGTAGCTGGAAACTGGTGGAGCCAAGTTCTGTGACTTTTGCAAAGACAAAGTTGACTTAGACTTTGGTTTCTCAAACTTCAACACTGAAGTAAACTATTATTTCAATGCTGCTGGAACTGCTTGGGACCACAGTTAAGTTTACATGCGAAAATTTGAATGCAAGAGAATAGAAAGCAGACTTGCAGTCTATATGTTGGACCCAGATATTTCAAATGCTTTAGCTGCCAAATATATTGCAGTTCCACTTATGTTCCCTATACACCAAATATCTGTCAAAGACTTTGCAGGTGAAGTTGGAAACCAAAATCCAGGAGCCGCAGGTGCAAGAACAGATATTGCTTTAACAACTGCAATGAAACATGCAGATACTATGTTTGTACTGTTCAGACGAACTATAAATGACTATTCTTGTTTCTACAACCGGTATTAAATATCATATACATAGATGGCAAATATTATCCAAGAGAAGAATATTCTACAGTTGAGGATATGAGGTCATACAACTTGACATTAGATGCTATGAACTTTAACAACAAACTTCACAACGACCATTAACCCTGAAATGCAAAGTTCTATATGCCATATGTGAAAGTATGGACTCATACAGGAGGTCAAAAAACTCAATATACAAATGGAGACCGTTCAAACTTTTGGCTTGGCATTCCATTTGCTGACTCAGAAGACTTTATGGGTGGTATTTCAACTGTTTGGTACTGTACAAAACAATATACTGGTGACAGAGACGGTCCAGATGAATTGAGAGCAAAGAAGTTTACAAAACCAATAGCACTTTTCACGGAAGATGCTCTTTTGAAATCGTATTCGTCGATGAAACCTGCTGGGGCTCCTCAGATTGGCATAACGACAGCTTCCATCGAGCAGATTTTGGCAGCAGGTCAGTAAGTTGTTCTTTGACACTTTTTCACCATCGTAAATAGTTATGACACCTGTTTTGACATAATATTGTATTAAACTTACCTTTAGAAATATCTGTAAGTTTTGTTGTTATATTTTGTCTGCTTCAAGAACTTTCACCATTTCAGTTATACCAACTTTCTTTGCTTTATGAAAATATTTAGGTTCAGCAAAGACTGCTATTCTATAACATTTTCCATTGTTTGTGTAAAGAACTATTCTGTCCAATGTATTTGTATTGTTTGTGAGTATAAATTTGTTCTGCTTCAATTCAAAGAGATACTCAAATACGTCCATCTTTTTATTCTAAGTAAAAATGTCATTTCCGAAAAATAGAAGCGTAAGTGTTTCAAAGTTTAATGGCGGTGGCAGATGTGAAGTTAAATTCACCAACTCAAACAAACAGTCAAAGTGTTGTTGTCAATGTCAAAGACAGAGATGTTGAAGTGGGGAAACCATACGAAGACGAAGATGGTATAACAATTGTTCCTGTAAAAGAACCAACATATCCTGAAGTTAGCAGAGACTTAAGTTCTGTTGCAGATATTCGAAACGACTACCAACAACTGAAAGACAAACTTCAAACTCAGGAAGAAGATTTGTCAAGCTTTAAGTATAATGTTAAACTTGGTCGAACACAACCCTGTAAAAGTGAACTCATATGTCATTGCACCTCATGAAGTTTTGAAAGAACTATTGAAACTTTTGACAGAGGCAAGACGATATAAACATCAAAGAAATAGAACCCGACATAGTTGCTGTGGTGTTTCATATAATGTCATTGACAAGATATACGTTATGAAAGGAGGTGAAACGTTGAACTTAAAGTATAGTTTCCCAGACGTTATAAAAATATTTGACGACCACAACATTTCATTAAATATTTATTTGCTAAGTAAAATGTCAAAACTTCTTGAAAGATGTTTGAAGAAAAAATAATATAGACTTTATTTCATGTAAAGGACTTTACACACTTTTGAACGATATGAAAGACCCTGTTTTGTTTGTTCGTGTAGACAAAGGAAAGTTCTATGTCTTTACAAAATATTTGAACTTCTTAGACAGAGAACTTCAAGAAACGCCATGTGAAAGTTTAAGATGAAGTTCTTCTCCACTTTTCAGAAAAACTTTTAAATATATATAAATGGCAGAAGATATAATGGTTTATACTATTACGACTAAAAACCCTGGGTCATATAATTCTATAACAACAAACTTACAAAGTCCTCAAGGACGGTATTGTAAACTAACTTTAAACACAATGACGACTAAAGCCTGTTTTGCTCTTTTGACACCAGAAGACTTTATTGTTGTGAATGGTAAAAAATACTCCTTTGAAGATACTTACTCAGATATACCACCAACAGGTTTTTGTTGACTTATTTAATACTTTAAGTACGAGTGTAATGTGCTGCAACTAGAGCAGGTTTCATTATGTTTGGATGTCCGACTGAGTTTACTTAAACAATATGAGCTATAATACAAAACTTATATCTGGTTTTTACTACCAACAGTTTCCTATAACAGGAAAAGGTGTCATACAAGGAATGTCTGTTCCATTGACTTTTAAGTACACCAATCTTATATATTGTTTCAAAACTTAGGTTCAAAGTGTTATTCGAATGTCGACAGAAAATATTATGACCAAAAGATACTTATGCGTATAAACAATACTTTCTCTGCTGGTTTGCCTATTGATTGTTTCATTCGAATGCAGAATTTTCAACCTTTAGTGAACTCAAACACTTTTGGCAAGTAAACGTTGACATTAGTTGACGCAAACTTTGTTCCTGTAAAACTTTTATGTCCTATGTATTTGTCAATGACGGCAGAAAGTTTCGAATTGGAAGATGCAACTGTGAAAGTATTGTATTACAAGAACAACTTCAACAACAAATGCGAACAATGAAACAAATGGAACAACAAATCAAGAATAAAAAAAATAATATTTTTTTTATTTTTATAAAAATGTACAGAATAGATGTTTCAGATTTTTTATGACTTCCAAGCATTCAGAAATATGTGTCCATTTCGAGACTATAACAAAGCAGTCGAGAATTGAAACGTTTAGTCATTTATGTCGAACTCTGCCCCAGAAGTTATGTTATGAAAGAATGGGATGTAGTCTTTAAACAAACCTAAGCGACAAATAGTTCTAGAACAAGAAATGTAAACAAGAAACTTAGAAAATAAAAGTCGTACAAGTTGGCATGAAGATGTTAGATGATCTTGGGATATCTTATTGTCCAAAGTTAGAGATTTTTTCAGTTCGAGCGCTATAAAGTTTCTAATACACCTTCTCCAAACTTCTATTCTATCTTCACTGCGATCATATAAATATGAACAAGTTAGA